TCAGCAGGAGGGATCGAGAGTAATGATGGCACATCCGGAGGCTTATTATAATAAGAAAAAAAAAATTCGGTGTGAACAGCCGATTGTAAGGATATAGATTGATTCATAATTTATATGCCTAAATTAAATTGATAATTTAAAAAATTAAATTTTAATAAGATATTTTAATCCAATTTTCTCTTATAATAATTTAAAAGTTAGAGATTATCTTTAGTGACATAAATAAGTTAAGAATATTTTAATACATAAAATAATGTGCTTCATTTTATAACTATGTTGAATGAAAATGATATAAAGATATTAACAAATTAAATTTGCGCATTTATTCTATCAAAAATATAAAATAGTTAATTAAGGTGAATATTTTTTTACCTAGTATTTAAAAAAATGACGTCCAATTTAATTGATAAATATTTAATTCTCAATATGTATGCACCAAAACTGTAAGTATGAGTCTCAGAATAATCAAACGATTATGGATGAAGGCCAAACAATCGAAGCGTCTGACTAAAGGAGTATGATCTGAACCAACCACCCGAAGACTGCCCGTTTGATCAAGTCGGCAGACATGCAAGGTCGGTGGGTTGAATCGGTGGACCATGCTTACGATCCCAGCTACCCAAACTTCTTGCATAGACATCCGGTTACAACTAGTCGTCCGACCGGCTATACCACAATAAAAGCGATCGTCATGAGCCAAATCAAAACTAAATTTATTTGGGTCAACCTAGCTTAACCTAGGTCAAACCCAAGCCAGCCTAGGTAAGCCCAAGCCAACCTGGGTAAGCCCAAGCCAGTTCAAGCCAACTCAAAAAAAAACTCAGCTTAACCTGAGCTAACTTAGAGCCAACCTAGGCCCAAACCAGCTATTTCATACAACACCTCGACTCGACCCCGAGCTAACTTCTGCTGAAATCTTAGCATACCCTAACTCAAACCGAGCCCAACTCTAATCCAAGGCTAAATGTTACTTTATACGTTTTATCTCACATGTCATTTCATTTCATATGTCGTTTCATGTTTTGTTTTCTTTCATGTGTTATTTCATTTTCAAAAACAAAACAAAAATAACAAAAAAATACAAAAAATAAAAAATTAAAGATGAGAACTTCTTAATTTTCTCTGCAAACATAAAAAATCAAAATCCATAAAAAAATAAACTCAAACATAGAAAACTTTGGTTTCTCAACATGAATGACAAACTTAGGAGCTAAACAATACATGAATTAAAATATTGAACTTCAATTAAATATTTAAAACACGACAAGACAAAGAACAGGAACTGAACCATGGTAGATCCGACAAGAATTTTAGTTTAGCTAACTTTGACACCGAACTGAGGGCCATACACATACAATAGGCTTGTTTGAGTATAGAAGCCTAGGATAGTTCTAGTACCTAGTTAGTGTTAAATGCTAGGACATGCAAAATAATAAACCTACCCCCTTAGACTAGAGGGAATACTTTAGAATGAAGTAACTCATGGTTAGTGAACAAGTTATTTCAGACTACTTTGAAAATGCAAATCTTCATGCTTTGTCATTTAATGGGGACTCATGGTTATGAAGTTGGTCATAGTCGACGGTTACCAATGTTCATGAAATGATGGAAAGCTAAAATCATCTTGACCTGAGATGTTATTCCTAAAATCTTGGTTTGTCTTCTCATAGAATTATCTATAGATTATGATTTCATTTTCTATCTAGAAATCATTTCCTACCTTACTCTATCCTTAGCTTAGGGTTTTCAATCGCTTGTGTCAGTGAAACCCAATATCTCTAATCTATCTTTTGACTTTCACCCAATCAGTCCAAATTCATCAAATGTTTTCAAATCTTTCTTATACCTCAGGCCTTTCCGATGACATGTCGTTATCAGATTGTAAATCATGTACTTTTGAATGTAATTCTTTCAATTTTGACCCCAACTCCAATTATGAAAATAGGATCTTTGATAATTTAAGTTATCATATTAATCAGGAGATTTTCTTTAATGCTTACGGCTCTAAAGATGTAATCAACTGTGAGAGTTTGCCATTGCAGGGAAAAATACCCTAGAATTAAAATAAAACTTATCTTACACCCATAAGGTAAGGGAAGAACCCTGGTTCAGTAGATGCCACATATTTCTATTACTCAAATGACTGAATCCGTTCTAAGATAATGTATCTGTCTTTTGAGATATTATTTTATTTTTTGAATGTCACATTCGATTATTTAGATAGAAATCTTTCAAGATCTATGATGTTCCTAAAACATAAAAAAAAAAAAAAAACCTAAAGGTTTTTATAGCAACTCCACTAGGGAGTTGTTCTCATCTCCATCTCTTATGATAAGTTAGGTTGCCCTTTCATCCATTATGGATCCATCAAACTGATATAAAAATTTGCATGTCTTCAATCCTCAATTCTCTGCTACTCACGAAAACCTAATTTAATGAATAGATTTCTGGATATTCTCTTTAGGTCCTCTTTGTGCATGGTTACGCACCTGAGCTTAGTCTAGAGCCTCTTGATTTCTTTATTTAAGTTTGGTTCTATCATTTACTAATAACTATTCAAAATCTAATTTTCAATCTAAAACTCTTTGAGAATAAAATTTGAAACAAAGTTCAACATTTCAAATTAAAATTGAAATGTCTTTAAAGCTAAAACTCTTTGAAAACAAAAAAAAAAATGAAACTCTAAACTTCAAACTAAGAAAATGAAAACGCTTTAAAAACTAAAATATTTTCTTGTTCACCTTGTGAATATGCTCCAACTTTAAATTTCTTCATTAAGTTCCCTTTCAAATAAGTTTAATCTTAAATTCAATAAAATTGAGAGATTCAAGTGTCCTTAGAGAATATATGAGAGAGCCACCGCAAAGTTCTATTGGTGTTATCTCTGGTAAAAACATGAAACCATTTGACACCAAAGTAAAAGAAGAATGGAACATCTTTTTGTCCATGGCCCTCTATAAAATCAAAAACCAAATCAATATGTTGTTGATACTCTACGTATAATCCATTTACAATAAGATGTCTTTGATATAATCAATTGTTTCTTTCAAACTCATTCTTAGTTCAAACTCTGTTAATGAATTTTTCATCAAGCTTGGTTGAAACTTTGTAAATCGTAATATAATTGATGTTAATGCTTTTGATATTTTATAAAGATAAGATTGTTATCAAGCATTAATGCAATAGATTACGTTCTTTAGTCTTCTTAAAATTTATGATTATTTAAAATTTATTCCATTACATAAGGTCAACAACTTAAAATTTCTAAGATGATTGATGTCTACAACAGGTGTAAGGACTTGTTTTACAAGTTATACCAAACACATCTCTCGTTGGAGGCAACACTCATAATTTCAACATCAGGAGAAGCTTTAAGTACCACAAGGTTTTAATAAATCTGTCAAAAAATTTCTCTTAATAGAAACCTACCATATCCAAATTTATTGTGGCAAACATCATATCTCCTCAAACAGAAGCTAAAACATAAATAAGGTTGTTACCTTTGATGGAGAACTTATATATTTATAGGATATGTTTATAAATGGTTAATATCGAACATAATGATTTAACTCATAAAACTGCGACATAATTTTCCTAAGGATTATTATTTTTACTTTCTTGTGATGCATGATTGATTTGCTCACTTTATATTCCTGTAATTGTGGTCATTCAAGCTATTTTGAATTCATGTGGAATTGAGCCTCTCCATCCACATGTCAGGTCAAATTGCTGTTTCATGAACTTGAATATAATTTATAAACAACTTTTGGAACCCTTTTTGGAGGACATTAAAATTAAGATAATATTCTTCAGAGATATAAAAGTAAAAAATAAAAAGGGTGAAGGAACATAAAAGATGTTATCCCATAGTGTCAATTATCTTTAATCAATATTTTGGGCAATTTTGCACTTTCTAAAATATGAGTAGATGATGAAATCAAGAAAAGTTCTAAAGTGTCCCAGCATAAAGACAAAACACTAACTACAAAAGTTGCTTCATCAAGGAAAAGTTGAAGGAATAGAAAATATTTTATTTTATAGTGATGATGATCTTCAGACAATATTTTGGCAATCCCACTTTTTTCTAAACATATGAGTAGATGATGAAATTATGAGATGTTTTATAATGTCTCTCGATAAAGAAAAAACACCAACTATAAAAGATGCTTCACTAAGCGAAAGTTGAAGAAACAAAAAAGTTATTATCTAATAATTGCGATGATCTACGGATAGTATTTTTGCAATTTCACTCCTTTCTAAACATATGAATAGATGATGAACTTATGAGAAGTTGTAAAGTACCCTTGGATAAAGACAAAACACCAAAATCTGCTTCACCAAACAAGAAGAATATACCATTTATAATGCATATTGGCTTGGAATCCGACTCGAAGGATGAGTACAACACTAAAGGCTCATCTATTACTCTGACAAAGGTAAGACCACATTGAAGTTTTTGTTAGAAGAAACAAAAGGGAAGAGAAATAGGTTGACTTGATTAATCATTTATCATAAAATAGTACATAAATCTCTGAAGATAGATATCAATAAAGACAATGTTTGAGAAATGATTGCACATTAAATATTGATAAATGAAAATCTCTTCTTGATTGTTGAAGAATTTGGTTTTACTTCAGTTTAAAGTCAATGCCGCCATATTTCACATAATGTTCAAGGGCAACTGTTCACAATGATGTCATGTTGCCGTGTGAATGGAAAAGAAGAAGCTCAAGAATACATTAAAAAATATCAACATAATAAGTTTTACAACGGATTTACGGAAATCCGAAAGCCCAATAATATCATATATGGTTATCACAACACATTATTTTGATTCAAACTGAAAGTGTTGGTGCATTTTTGAAAATCAACCATACATGAATAGTGCATACATAGAAAAATCAAGTTTATTTTTTCTAACTCGACTGCCTTGTTAAAAAGGGCCTGGGAATTTTGAGGATCT